GGTGGGGGTGGCGTCCAACCCCCTTTCTTATTCCTGAATCCATGTGATTAGAAAAGGGAGATGAAGAAATGGAAATATTGAAAGGAGCTAAAGAGAATGAAAATTTACCAAATTAAACATTGTTCCTATTTATGTATTTTAAATTTTAAATACAGAGTTAATTACATAGTCAGCACTCTATTTTTTCTAGTTTCGTGCATTTATTGTTTCATATCAGACGTGAGTCCCAAATTGTCTTAAGATAGTGAGGGGACAGTATCCTCTTCTCTTTTTTCTGATACGATTCTTGTGGGGAAAGGAGCCATTAAGAGACCGGGGGGAAGGTGAAGAAGTGGTCAGAGTGCGTGGCTGGGTGCCTTCTATGTTCAGGGCACATCAGTCATCTCTGCTGTGCACATGGACTGGGAGGGAGGAGGGTCTGTCAGAAAGGAACTCCTAGGGATCCATCAGAGGTTTCTGACCTTGAGACAGGAGGAGATATTGATTGGAAAAAACTGGTGTAAGGCAAATAAACACCAAAGAAAAACAATGTCTGACCTTCAAGTCCTAGTGAAATAGGCCTAGAGTCTCCAGAGCAATTGATGGCAAAACTTGCCCCAGTGACTTGTGCTGGATATGCTTTGGCCAAACACTCTCAGAGAGAAATGATTCTGGTTTTAAATTATTTTTCTCAAGAACTTGAGCCCATGGGGCATCCCTTCAAGAGAGGCAGAGGAACTAGTTTTAAGGTCAATGCAAGGATCTGCAACCCAGAGGAGGAATATGGAAACCCTCAGACAGGAGCGTTCCCCTCCCAGGCTTTCAGGGCAGCCTGCGTCAGACTCAGGGTGACTTTAGAACCGAAGCCATACTCTAGAGTGTAGAGGGGATGGACATCGGAATCTCCTGGGAGGTGTTTGTGAATGTTTGTTTATTCTTTCAAACAAAGCCGCCTGTCACACTCCTGTCAAGTTCTCCTCTAACCTTGCTAACCCTCCCACTCCCAGTTGAAAACCACTGTTCTAGACCTCATACCTGGAAATTACGGTAAGAAACAGATCTAGGGGACATTGAAAATATCTCTAGGTCTCACATTGCAAGTTTAAGGCAGCCATCTACAATTCTTTCTGTCTTTTTGAGTGACCGGAGTTAGCAGGAAAAGAAACTTTAGATTGTTTGTTAGGAATGAATTTGTGTCACCTGTTGCAATAGAAATATATTTATTAAAATTGGGACTCTGTTTGTATAAGTGTGCCAAATCGTGAACCAACTAAACACTGTCTTCTTTCAAACATTTAAAGTGTGTTCACAATGAAACCAAGAATGAATTGGAGAAGATGTTGAAATGTAATGAGGAGCACCCAGCTTACCTTGCAAGTGATGAGATAACTACAGTCCGAAAGAACCTGGAATCCCGAGGAGTAGAAGTCGATCCAAGCTTGGTAATAAATATGCCGAAAGCATGAATTTGCTTCCTTAGTCATTGTTTCTTGTTAAATAATGCCTTTGGATTCCCTTTTTCCTCACTTATAATAAATATAAGGATAAAAATAATTACAGTTTAGACTACTTTTTGCTTACCTTCATGATGCTTATTTGGGGAAAATTTGAAAAACAAAAACTATTTCTGAGCCTGTGTTTCCTAGTTAGGGTGTAAGGGATTGAAACTTCATTTTAACATTAGCTTAAGTTAAACCCAACAAGAAAAGTAATCCTAGTGGGGAAAATAGTCATATAAGAAATTTCAGAGCCACTTGTAAATTCTTTTAAAGATTATCTGCTTTTTATGTTTTCTCATTTGAGAAATGAGTGTATTTATTCCAAATTCTACCAGAGGGCAGAACAAGAAAAGTAAACTGAAATTCAGAACAGTTATAGTTGTTACACATGTAGCTTTACTTATAAACTGAAAATGAAATTAAGACTTATGATTACATGAAATTATTAGTTGAATATAGATTTAATTTATCCACATTGTTCAGCTCTCATTGACAATATATTGTATTCAGTTTGCTACTTTTAAATTTTATGTGGCTATAAGTGTTGATACTTTGGTTAATACCGTGAGTGGGAAGGACTTTATCCATATTTAGGATATGGATTGGCTTCATATCTTAATTACTTTCTGTGAGCAAGAAAATCTGAAGTTTTTTCCAAGAGACACTTTGTTCAGTGCACTTTATGAAGCTGTAAAAAAGGTAGGAAAGTGCTATGCCATGAATAGTGGATGGACTTGATGTCAGGAGACATGAATTCTAGTACAGTTTCATTCCGTTTGCTAGTAATATTACCTTTAGTAATTGATATAATCTCTTTGAGCCCCTTTTTCATCTGTCAGATGGTGGTGATACTTTTTCTGGCTACTGAGTATTATTGTTTTCATGCTTAAAAAATGACAGTGGTGTGAAAGAATCTTAAACACTATAACAGAGTATACAGCAATAACATGGGCTGGTTCACATTGATGTAGTAACTGAAACTTAATAATCAGAAAGGAAATATTGTTGGGTTGGTTGATGGGCATGGTCTGAGACCATCTTCCTAGTCCTGATTCTGTCTATGGCTCACAACCTCTTTTTGCATTGCAATCTTTACCTTGAATTAGGGGAAGATAACCCCTACCTTATCTACTCCATAAGATGATTATTTTACTATAATAGCAATGCTTATTAAAAACACTGCAAATGTTGAAGTACATAAGCTGGTAAGGGGACAGAGTAGTAGTAAATCTAAATCTAATCTTTGTCTTGAAAAAAAATTAATGGATAAAAAAGGTTGTTAGAATAATAACTTTGTCATTGGTTTTGATTAACTTTTTAAATATTAGATAAGCTTTGTATGTGACTTCAGAATGTGCTTAATCTGAAGAGTGTATACTAACTCTTTGGTCTTTGTTTTCTTTTTTCATTTTAGATTAAGGATACTTGGCACCAAGTTTATAGAAGACATTTCTTAAAAACAGCCCTAAACCACTGTAACCTTTGTCGAAGAGGCTTTTATTACTACCAAAGGCATTTTGTAGATTCTGAGGTAAGGTTTCCAAAAACAAGTAGAAATGTATTTCAGCAGTAGTTTTTAGATGCTTAAAAGTAAACTTTAGTGTTGACATTAATTGTAAGTCCTTTGATCTTCTGGAAAAAATGTGTGATTTATAAAGAATAATGTAATCCCTATCTTTTCAAAGATATTTATCACTTTGGTAGTATCTGCATCTTACATGCACATCCTCTCAGTGCCTATGAGATTGTGTGCATATGATGGGTACTAAACCTTTTTTTAAGAATTAGCTTCTTATATTATAAAATAATACATTCCCATGGAGAAAGTAAATGCAATAAATAAATGTAAAAAAAATATGCAAAGGGGAATAGTCCCTTATAACCCTTGACCTAGAAGTAATTTTAGTTAACATTTTTATATATTTTTGTTCAACTCTTTCTATACAGGGTCGTATGTGTGTTTATGTATATAACATTATCATCCATTGCATAGTAGAAACTATACTGCAAAACAATTTTTTATTGTGCCGGTTTCCTCTATTAGGTTGTAATTCTTTTTTTGTATCACTAAAAGATTGTTTTAAATAATTCTTTTGAAGAACTGTGTAAAGTTTTTGGAATGGACAGTTGTAAATAGTTTAATGTCGCATTTTACAAAGTAATCTCTAGGTGGCAGCAGACTGATGTATTTTGAGCATTTTCTTAAAAGCAGAAATTGTTTTTAATGTATCCTTCTAAATGAGCTCTATTAATCAGTGATTTTATTTGAGACCCCTGAAATGCTTTCCTTTTGATTTTCAGTGGCTTAAAATAAACTTACATTTAAATGCACCTATGTAAAAAGTGGCCATTTTTTGCATAATTTTAAATGTTGAGAAGACCTCTTTACAGAATAAGCTTCCTTTTAAAAAATATCATTAATTTATTTACAAGTACAGCTGAATTTCAAAAATGTATTGAGTATACACTCAAAACAAAAAGAGGTTAACGTAAGAACATATTTTAACATAGTTGTGAGTTGAAACTAAATACAAATTAAGGGTTATAATATGCTGTGGATTTCTACTTGTATATAATGTAATGAAATGCTCTACTTCTCAAGTTTATTTGCTTTCTTATTGGAATTAAAGCAAAGTTATATAGATGTGGGATAGATAGACCCCAAATCATGCAGAATTTGATGAATCCTGTGCAGAAAAGGTTCAGTAGCTTATGTTTACAATAGGAATATATATGTTAGGTAAATCCGAGTATTTTTATTTAAAGGTTATGCTAGAGGTTAGGCTAGAGGTTCTCACTCTAGTAGTTTTCTATGTTTATGATCAAATTTATGTATAAATTTGCATCTGCTAATCTTAATTACTCGGTATTTCAGTTGGAATGCAATGATGTTGTCCTGTTTTGGCGAATACAGCGCATGCTCGCAATCACCGCAAATACTTTACGGCAACAACTTACAAACACTGAAGGTAAGCCACAAGGGACCACTTTCTAATTTTGACATAAAAAATAATAGTAACAACACCCATTTTTAATAGCATGCCCAAATGTTTCCTTTACAATAGATTTCGTTGAAAAAAATGAAAATCATTATTTGCCCTTAAAATATTAATGAAAATAAATCAAAATTGAAAAAGATGGGAGATAAAACATATTAGGAGTCTCTCTTTATGACAGAAACTCTGTTAGAAAAGAACTCCTAAGCATCATTTAGTTTTTTTGAGAAATCTACACTTCTGTTAAAGTGTCAGAGCTTGAGACTATGACTCTCTGAGAACAGATATTAGCTTTATGTTGTAAAAAGTACTGACTAATAGGTAAATATTCTCTATAACTATGGGAAGTCTGAATTTTGTGATGAGAAAAATAAGAACTTACTCTCGATATATTGCTAATTTCACATCCTTGTGCATTCATAAAAATGGTGCTCCTCAGGTTTTTTATTTACTTTGAACAGTCAGACGATTAGAGAAAAATGTTAAAGAAGTATTGGAAGATTTTGCTGAAGACGGCGAGAAGAAGGTTAAGCTGCTCACTGGTAAACGAGTGCAGCTGGCCGAAGACCTCAGTAAGTGGTTGTTCCTGCCTTTCACCTTCCTGCCTTTCCACCATCCCCATTTCCATTTATTTGTTCATCCATTTAACCTCAGACTTGCAGAAAACTATATACAAAGAACTTTTCTTCCTGAACTATTTGAGGGAAAGATGCTGACTTGAATCCCCATCGCTTCCAATTACTTTAATGTGTGTTTCTTGGAAACAAGGATTTTCTCCTAGCAACCATTAAAATCAGGATGTGGACACTGATACATTACTACATCTAATTTCACACCCCATTCAAGTTCCCCCTGTTGTCCTACTATTGTCCTTCCATGTAACAAGATGTTCCATGCTCATTTTTACTTTACCTGACCTAGCTTTTTTTTTTTTTTTTTTTAGAATGGTTTTAGAAATCAGGAGCTGGGAACTAGGTAGGCTCATTGTTACCAGAACATCGCTGTTCCCACACCCTCTTAATGGAAAGAGTTAGGAAACAAATCCTGCTTGTGTGCGGGTACACACATAGATACATATACACCCATTTACCTCTGTGTTTCTAGTCATACATACATGTCTATATTGAAAGCTATAAGTTGACTTCGATACCATTTTAATGTAGTAATACAATTTGTTCTAGTTTTCTCTTTTTCCATATTTGTAATTCTTTTTTCTAGCACTGAGAAATCTGGCTTCAAGTATTAATATATTTACTTATTTTGGTTGTCCCCTTATATGTAACCAAACTTGTCACTATCCCCTTCATTGAACAAACGTTCTTTTTGCCCAGCTCAGGCTCTTATCACTGCCTCCAGGCCACCTGCACAGTGCCTCGCCCTGTGTTGATACCCTTTTCACCTCATCTAGGCTCTGACATCTGACCCTTTACACAGACATCGCCCCCTCTCATTCTTTTCTCCCCCTTTCCCCTAGTTAAGGACATGCCCTTCATCCTATTTATGCTCCAACACCCTGCACCAGACCTTCCTATATATGTACTCTCCTTACTTCTGGGCCAGGCCACCAATACCCCCGTGGGGACTCCCTCTTAAACCTGGTCCAGCTTTCTCACCTACACTAGGCAATGTGACTTTCCCTCCCCCTGCACCTTCCCACCCCTATTCCAGCTTGACCTTACTGATCACTTTGACACTTTTGGGGGGG